AGAGAACTATGAGGGTCTCAGGTTCATATCCCAACAGAGACAAAAAGTATTAGGTGATTTCTTCTAAGTTGCCTAAGACTTAGCTGGCAGAGTTATCGGCACGTCACCTGTGCTAGTGGGAGGTAGCAGGTAGCCGATGGAATAGTTGAGGTGCACGCAAGCTGACCCGGACATCATTATCATTAAAAGAAAAATAGTAATATGAGACACTGAACCATTTTTTTGATTTGGAAGGATAATTGTCGATTAAAGAGGGAGAGTTTTTTGTTATTTGCTAGCAAAGTGCTAGCATATTTGTTATATTCCACTCCACTGAAAATTGTACTTTCCCTTATTGGATTTTATATGAACAAAAGTTATGTTTTTGTCACACAAAAGTTCCACATAGTATCTTCACTCTACAAGAAACTACTAGTAAATTGACCAATTAATTAACCATGCTGGGGGTAATATTAGAATGTTTGACAAAAAATATTGACTTGCATATAGAGTAACTGCACTCTGCACTTAAATCTGTGTGCTAGGTCAAATTAGATGATGAAAATGGGAAATTAAATAAATTATTTGTGCTTACATTGCTATTCCTGGCCCGTTCTCCCAAAAAAATGAAACTGTAAAATTTTCAGAGGAAGTTTGTAATGTGATTTACCTTCAAAGGATGTATTAGTTGTGTGCGTTCTGGCCCAAGATGCTTAATTTGGTCCTGTACTGTAGGAGTCGTGATGCTTTTCTGTTCGCGAACTTAATGTTCCCTTCACAAAGAATTTTGCTGTGCACAAAATTAGAAGTTTTGACAGGGCTCTACTTTCTTTGTTTTCCAGCTGCATGCTTATGGATTTCTTTTCTCTTTATTGCTAAGGAAATCATGATCTTTCTTTCACCAGCCTATTGTTTCTTCACAAAGAATTTACTCTTACCACAAAATAAGAAGTTTTGGCATGTCTCCACTTTCTTTTATCTGCCAAGTGCTAATGGAATTATCTCTTTTTGTATCTTCCTTCTGTAACGCCATAAGCAACCTAGCTTCAACTGCAGTTCCTATTAAGGCTTTTCTCTATACAATTTAGATTTCATTTGATCTTTACATTCCTGGCCAAAGATTGTAAATTATATAGATTCTGTTATACAGTGCTGTAATGAGTATAGATATGATTATTATTTTGTTAATCATTGATGTTCAATATGTATAACCTCACAAGTGCTGTTGGTGGGTTTTTCCTGAATGACTTCTCTCTTGATGTGTATTAGTCCAGCTTCCTTTTAGCTATTTAAACTTTGTAATTAGATTTTATTTTTGATAAGGAAATCTTTGTAATTAGATTTGGCAGTTGTACTGTTAAACCAAGCACTTCATGATTTTAGAATCCTATGATTCCTTCTACTAATTCTGGCTTACTAAAACTAAAGAGCTGCTATCCGTCTAGCATTTATAGAAGCTGCAAATTGTCATTCAGCAACTTGTTAAACCTCCCATTTTCTTGCTCAAAGATTTGAAGTGCCCTTACATAGTATGTTCCCTCTACAATTTGGGCTTCGAAGTGAAAGTGATTAGTTGTATCATCTTGCTTCGTGTAGTAGGACATAGTGGAAACATTATATGGTTATTTAATGTTCATTTATCTGCCTGTAGTCATCATGTTGTCTGGCTTTCTGTTCCAGGTAGCTAAAGAGAGTGCTGATGTCATAATTTTAGATGATAATTTCTCAACAATTGTGACTGTGGCCAAATGGGGGCGCTCAGTTTATGTGAATATTCAAAAGTTCGTTCAATTTCAGCTGACTGTAAATGTTGTTGCCTTGATTGTCAACTTTTCTTCAGCCTGTTTGACAGGTAGCGTATCTTGACCTAAGAAAATTACTCCCTCCATTTCAGTTTATGTGAACCTTTTCAGAGTGCTTTTCGGTTGAATTCGGACATGGAATTTTCAATCTTTTTGAAATACAATTTACATATTTTAATGCTACATAAATATGAATTGAAACGCGGGAAGTAATTTTTACTACTTTTAACACATTTTCCCCTAAAGGTGTGATTTTGAGATGTATCTTCTATGCATTTTCAGGGAATGCTCCGCTTACTGCTGTTCAGCTTCTATGGGTTAACATGATAATGGACACCCTGGGAGCTCTTGCTCTAGCTACTGAACCTCCTAATGGTGACTTGATGAAGCGATCCCCTGTAGGAAGGAAGGGGAACTTCATTAGCAATGTCATGTGGAGGAACATTTTGGGACAATCTCTTTACCAATTTGTAGTCATATGGTATCTTCAGACTTCAGGCAAAGCTCTCTTTCATCTTGATGGCTCAGATGCCAACTTGATTCTTAACACACTCATTTTCAACTCATTTGTATTCTGTCAGGTAATTTTCCAGTTTTCCTTTTCAATATATAATCTTTCACGACTTTCTAATGCATTATTAGCAAAAAATTATATTGTCATGTTTTTCTATTTCTTGAGTAGATTCACATTTTGTTGATGTTAATGGATATTTGTAAAGTGAGTTCAAAACACAGATAGATCACTGCAAGTAATCATGAAAGCTTTCCAAGTATTAGTAGTTATTAATGTTTCTGCTAAATGGAAAAAAGTATGTCATCTCAATTCCACATTTAAATTGATTGCGGAGGTTACTAAACAGTTTGCTGGAAGCGTGGAACTTCTGCCATTTATTAGAACTTCACTCAAATCCACTAGTAAAACTCAAGTGTTACCTTTGCGTTTTCTTGCAGGTGTTCAATGAGATTAGCTCTAGAGATATGGACAAGATAAATGTCTTCAATGGTATATTGAACAATTATGTTTTCGTCAGCGTCCTCGGTTGTACAGTTCTATTCCAGATCATTATTGTTGAATTCCTTGGTACCTTTGCAAGCACTTGTCCACTTACATGGCACCAGTGGTTTACAAGTGTTGCAATTGGATTTCTTGGCATGCCGATTGCTGCTGCCATCAAGATGATCCCAGTAGGATCAACCTGAAATCAAGTTGGAGGAACTAGTAAGTGACAACTTGCTTGAACATCACTCAAGGGCATCGACTCAAATGTTAAGTTGCTATCAATCAGAAGTGTCAAAGCACAGACTTGAAGGTTGAAGATCTTAACTTAAAAGCAAGGGTTGGTCAATTTTATCAATTTCCGACAGCTTCTTATAACATTTGGAAAAACGGTTCTGAAGATATTGGACTGCTGGCGCTCTCTTGTACACCTCAAGGGGATTTGAAATTTTGAATCAATGACTTGTGAAGTATAACGTCTTCTGAACATGTCATGGTTGTAATGACACCTTGATATGGTATGCTTCTGGTTGGTTTTGTTTCATTGGATCATTATATCAATATTTTGGAACAATCATATCCCTTATTCTCTTTTTGTTTGAACTCCATTAACTTATTTCAACCATTACTAGATCTTTCCATCGTTGTTTTGAGGTAACTGAAGTTACTACCTTGTCATTATCTCAACGTTTTCGTCTAGAGATGGTTTAGGACCTCTGTCGAGGGATTTTCCGATCTGCATCTCGCTCTGTAGTCTGTTTAGCATATGGTCCATTACTTTTGCAGTAAATGCTTAACCTTTCGACTACTGGTATGTGAACTATGTGCATGCTCTAGTATAGGCCAAACTGTAAAAATGATAGGGTTTCAGTTCACAGCTATGTGCATGCTTTAGTTTAGGTCAAACTGTAAAAATTTGGACAGACGTTGATAGTTGTGCTATCGGCAACTTCTACACATACATAAGCTGTGTTATGATTTATAGTTATAAGAATAAAGATTGAGGTGAAATTAGTAATATTTAATGAAAAATGATTTCAGCGTTAAAAACACCATGAAATCCATAAAAACTAACAGTATAGTGGCAGCCTTGGCAGTTTGAAAAAGGCTAGTCCAACTGTCCAAGGTAGGACTTGTGATGTTAAGGGAGAAGCTAACAACAAGAAAGGATTATGAAATGATTTTGGCTTACTTGTGCCTAAAACTAAATTCAAAGGTTAAAAAAAAAAATAAACAAACAAAGAATTAAATAGACTCTTTGCCCTTCCAAGGCAGTAGGGGTAAAGAGAAAAATGAAATGAATGTAACTACATTTCATTGTGCATTTGCCCTATTTTACCTGGGACCGATTAGGTGCACTCATTGATAGGGTAACAAACAGAGATTACTTAATCAATGAGTGCACCTAATCGGTCCCAGGTAACAAAATGGATTACAATCTGATTCTTGAGAAGAATTCTTGGCAAAAACTCTTTATTTCTTCTCTTGAGATTGTTTCTCATCATCCTCAAAAGGGAGCTTTCTTTTTTACCTGAAGGTGGTGTTCTTGTTCAGCTCTAACAATTTATAGTAGCAGTAACACACATTATCCTGAATCAAACACAGTAATTACATTAGATTATACAAATAACATATATAATCCGGAGGAGAATATGAAAAAAGTTAATAAAAAAAAGACTCACAATTTGAAGAAACGCAGCTCCATTTAAAAGCAAGGCTTTTATCACAAGCTCTTCCTTGGTCAAGTTTTGGTTTAGTGCTAATAATGTTGCAGCTGCTGCTATTACAGATGGTCTGTAATTCATTAACCTCACATCTGCACAACAAATTAGGCAAATTTTTAGGCCCTGTTTGTCCATTAAATTTTTTTTCCTTTTTTCAATTTGTTTTCAAAAATGTGTTTGTCCAAGAAATTTTGCAAGTTTTTTTGAAAAAAAAAATTCGAAAATGAGTTTTTCAAAAATCAAAAAGTGGTTTTTGTCTACTTTTTCAAAAAAAAAAAAAAAAAAAAAAAAATTCCCCACTCATAAAACTGTAATATTTTTTCAAGTGAAATGCATATACAAACAAAATTCGAAAGTTCAAATATCATTTTTCAACTTAACTCCAAATACTACTCTCCTTTTTTCAAAAATTACAATTTGTATGTCCAAACACCTACTTAGTGGTAACTCTTAATAACTATAATTACTGTCATAAATCTACGAATTGAACAGGGAAAATTAAAGAACCTCATTACCTCTAAGTACACTCATTATGATCTCCATAGTTTTGGCTCTAATATAATCTTTTCTTGAATCTTCTCTGCAGAATCTTGATTGAAAATAAAATATTGTGAAAGCAAAAGGAGTGACAAACCACATATTCCATCTAAGGACATCTAAAATCAAATCTTCCGTCATCCGTATTGCATTAATTGGGTTACTATTTAATTCAAAATTTTCCATAGGATATTCTGATAATGATGGCAATGTATCTCTGCTTTCATCCATTTTTGCAGCCAATGATAAACAAGCTGCTGCTATTACCCTTATTGACCAGTTTTGTCCCCTCTACAAACAAGATTATAGCAATTCAGAAAATAACCCAATCAATAATACTACCATTTTCAGAGGAATCTTAATTCACTTACAATTACTGTCCGTGTAGCAAGAAACCTATCAAGATATATCACTGACGTGTAAACTGTGTGGATTCTAAACTGAAATCTTTCCCCTGTCTGCATCAAAATAAAATAAGAAAATCAGTATTAATTCTTTCACATTATTAATTAATGGGGTTTTTGATTACTAACTCTGAGAATGTAGTGGATTGCAGCAGTGCGAAATTCTTGAATCCAATTCTCATTGATAATGTTTAAAGCTTCTTGATCATTGAGTATAGGGTTGGCGATTTCTTTCTTGTATAATATCTGCATGTAATTATCATCAGTATGATCATCATTGCCACCATCTAATTGTTCAGCTACATTGTATGTGTATTGCTGCACTTCTGCTTTACTTGAACCAGGATTTTCCATCTTTAGCTTCTTCTTTTTTTCTCTCTATCTCTCTTATTTCTACATTTATATGGTAACCGTTTTGATGCTGCTAAGTTTTCTGGCGCGTTCTTGTGATATTTTTATTACACAAAGAACTACCGGTTTATATAACTGAAAAAATAACAGAAAAAAATGGGCAGTTAATATTGAAATTGATGAGCTGGTTTTGAGTCAAACTTTATTGACTAAGCTTTTTAGAAAGTACACAAGAATTTTAAAAAGTTAATCATTAGATTTTACAAGATACTTCTTCAGTTCCTCTATCTCAATTTACGTGATATTTTTTTGAGCTTTTATCATTGTTGGCTGCTCGGCCAAACTTTTAACGGTCACTGGCCAGAAATTAATTAATTACAATAGCCAGTTGATGAAACAAAAAGCCCCATCGAACGCATCCCAAACCCGACGCCAGATATTTCAAATGCTTTTTTTTCTTCTAAGAATCTCATTTTTAAAAATAAAAAATATATCTTTAATCCCCAAACAACGTGAAATACAGAACTATTTTAATTTTCTAACCAAATCAAAAAAACTTTCAATTATAAAAAATAGAATAGTGTACAATAAAACCTAAAAAAATATATCCTTGTTGTTGTTGACTCTTAATTTGCTAGATGAAAGCAGTCGGTCATCTTCAAAATAATATATCCTTATTGTTATGGTTTTTGTTTCATGGGTTTATTTATTTATTTAATACACAATAATATGTTCTTCATTCTTTAAATCAAATACCCCTTTACGTACAAAGAACGTAAATGTACATTCAAATAAATACTATATAATAGATATAAATTGTCAATAACTATCAACATTGTAATTTTTAACACAATATTAAATTCTAGAAAATCTTTCATATATACATTTTACTACATCACTACGTAGTAAAATGCACGATACACTTAATATATACAAAATCTATACATTGTAGAATAGTCTATACACTTTGGATACAAAAGTGCTCGGAATACATTAATGATATATTATGGATACATTGCAAGATGCACGGTACACTCTTTATACAAATTTTATGCAATATATATACTAAATAGACTGTCACTATATAAAAAATATATTAAAGTAGACGGTCACTATACAATTTATATACAATAGACTGTCACTATACAAAATATATACAAAATAGACTGCCACTATATAATTTATATACACTAGACTGTCGTTATACAAAATATATACAAAATAGACTGTTACTATACTAAATATATACTAAAAAGACTGTCATTATACAAAATAGGCTATCACTATACAAAAGATATACAAAATAGACTGCCACTATACAAAAAATATACAAAATAGATATTTCGGACTATTAGATGTAATATGTTTGGGCCGAAGGGCCATTTCGTGTAAGTGAAAAAAATATGGGCTATTAAAATTTTGAGGGGTTATAGATGGTAGTTTTTCCTATTTTTTGACCGTGTATTTAATTACAAAATATTTAAATTTTTTAAAATAAAATTTATATATTTGAAAACTACATAAAAATACTATAAGTCACAATAATTAATAATTTAAAATATTAAAAGGCATATAAAAAAATTACGGTAAAAAATAATTCGTTTAACTCTTGAAATTCGAACATTGTCACATAAATTGAAACCGAGGAAGTATCATATTTTTCAGTTAATTATGAATAAGTGATAGATCATGGTAAAATATAGCATAAACTAGTATTAGTAATTATAGAAGTTACAAAAATATATGTAAAAACACATGATATATATCTATTGATATGAGTAAAGTTGGAAAGTATTTTTCTTCACGTGTAAATAACATAAGAGTTATTTTCATTTCCAAAAATCACCAAAAATGGGGCTTTCAATATCATGAATTTTATATGGTATTTGCAATAGCTGTAGCTTCACGAGATGGAAACAAAAATGGGAAAAGAGGGGTGTGTTTGGTATGAATTTTTTAAATTTTTTCATGTTTGGTTGTTTTAAATATTTTGGAAAATATTTTTTCAAAAGAAGGGAAAACAACAACAACCCAATAAAATCCCATTAGTGGGGTCTGGGGAGGGTAGTGTGTACGCAAACCTTACTCCTACTCCTTCGGAGTAGGGAGGCTATTTCCGAAAGACTCTCGGCTCAAGAAAACAAAAAAGACAAAAGGACAAAAGGAGACAATGGGAGACAATATTAGTATCAGTATCACCACAGCAATCATAGAAAAAATAGGAATACCATGAAATCCAGAAAAAAGATACAAAGCAAATTGATACAATATTAGTATCACCACAACAATCATAAGAAAAATAGGAACACCATGATGCAAAGCAAAAGCGACAGCTAGTAAATATGACCTGCACTGAAAAGTGAAATAGTAAGACACAACATTGCCATTAGCTATCTTAGACAAAAACCATACATGGCTAGTCCCACAATGGTACGAAGTAAGGCACGACTCAACTACCTCCTAACCTACAACCCTAATACTCGACCTCCACATCTTCCTATCAAGTGTCATATCCTCGGAAATCTGGAGTCTCGCCATATCCTGCCTGATCACCTCTCCCCAATACTTTTTAGGTCGCCCTCTACCTCTTCTCGTGCCGTCCACAACCAGCCGCTCACACCTCCGTACCAGAGCATCTGGACTTCTCCTCTAAACATGCCCGAACCATCTAAGCCTCGTTTCCCGCATCTTGTCATCAAACTTTTTAGCACTTTTGAGGAAGTGAAGACGAATAGTCGACTTTGTTGCCTGCTTGAGCCACGTGCACCTTCTCTCGAATATCATCATTCCTAATCTTATCTATCCTGGTGTGCCCGCACATCCACCGCAACATCCTCATTTCTGCTACTTTCATCTTCTGGATATGTGAATTCTTAACGGGCCAACACTCAGCCCCATACATCATGGCCGGTCTAACCACCGCTTTATAGAACTTAACCTTTTCAACCTTTCCAAAACTCCTTCTCAACCTTCCCCACCCTCACCAACCCACCCCACACCCATACACCTAACCCCACCCCATGCCTACCCACCTCACCCCCTCTCATAAAAAGGTTTTAGTAATTTCAAATTTCTATTTTTTCATTTTTCTGCACCACCCACCTCACACTGCCTCACCCCACCCCNATCTTTCGATTTACATGTTCGAAATTTTACAAGTTCCAAAATTATGAGTTCGGAGGTTTATGTATTTGGAAGTTTACGCATACAAAACACTGAAAAATAAATAAGATTATTATTTGTTTTCCAAGAAAATATTTTCCGTACCGGAGATAAAGGAACTTTATATGGAATTCTTTAAACTAATGTTGTTAGAAAAATGTCTAAACTGCATGAAATTTTAATGTGATTAGGAGCTTTTCCTCTTCTGTTTTATCTCAATTTTTTTTATTTTTTTTATTTTTTTTGTGGGGACTTCCCTTCTTGCGAATAAATCCTTTTGACTTCCCACATGATAATCCCTTCGAGCTCTCACATAATAATTTCTCATCTCTCTGTTATTGAAAGGTGAATATAGGACATTTCTTATCCTAATAGAAGAATTAAATGAAAAAATTAAAAGAAATCATTTCGGTTCATTGATTGGTTATCAAAACGAAAAACTAATATATCAAGTGGAATTAAGAGGACAGCTTTTACTTGCCAGAAAAGAACATTTTCATTGTTTATTTTAATAGAAAATTGCTGTTAATGATGAGTTAAATGATGGTGAAACACATCTTGTATTCAGCAGAATGCATATTACAATATATTTATTGTTGGAAAACAATTTGAAGAAAAAAGAAAGAGAACATTAGTATTTCAATAAAACAAGTCAATAATTTTATTGTTGTAAGGAAAACATATTCAGGGGCTTGGGTATTACAGTTAGACTTATCTATAACAATATTCCTATATAACAGTTATTCTATATAAAAGTTAGGTTTTCCCCAGAATCGATTTTTTAAAGTTATATTTTACCTCTCTATAACAGCTTTTTACCTATGACAGCAACAACCATTTTTATAGCAGAACGCTCTTTGTAAAATTACCTATCTATAATAGCCATATAGAACCTTTAAGATTACTGATAATAATTTTAAAAATATGCACACAATCTTTTCCATTAAATAATGTTTCTATCTTGCATAAGATATAACATTTGAAGATATGCACATAATATCTTTTTTATTGGACAATTTTCAAAAAATATTTAGATAGAAAATTTAATTGTTAAGCTCTTAGATTGACTTTAAGGAAAAACTATTTGATACCTTTTTGTTGAAAAATTTGGACACGAATCTTCACCAATTCATGTATTATATCGCTAGTAAGAGAATGAAATATACGAAACAAGCTACAATTACAAAGTTCTTCATCAATCTTGAAAAAATTATTTTTTAGGTAACTTTAAAATACCCGCATTAGAGTTTAAATCTTTATATTTTTAGTTATAAATTTATTAATAATATATTAGTTTTTTTCAATATTTGACTAGTGAAATATGCATATCTTTTGAGATTTTAAATTTTAATAATTTTTCTATCTTTTATATGTAACATGAAAAAAGAAAAAATAATTAATTTTTGGATAGTTTTTATCTATAACAGCCAAAACATATGTAAACGTCAAATGTTGTTATAGGTGTATAACAAACATTCATTATAAAAGCAAAAAAATATCGGAACAAATAAAGTTATTATAGAGAATGTTGACTGTATATACTATAAACTTTATGATTTATCATCATCGGAATAAGATAGTCTACGTCGTGGTGAATGAGAGATGCTTCTCGAACTAGTTTTTGATTGAAGAAATTTCGATAGAAAGTTATATAAATATTGACGGTAAAGAAATTGTCAATTTATTTCTTCTTAGAACAGATAACTAAATGCAAGTTTGGCGTTTCAACAAAATGTGAATATATTAGATACTAATTAGAAGGAAATAATCAGACGAAGGCAAAAATATTTATTTTATAGCTAGAACTTCACCTAATTAATACTTGGTAAATAAATATTCAACGAAATAATCAAAATATGCACAATTATCAATAGATACTGTAATTGACAATAAAAATACATTTTTCACCACAAAAAAAAGAAGAAGAAGCTTATATTAGTTTCGTAACAAATACACACTCAAGAAACACGATACCTAGAAAAAGAAAAAGGAAATAAAACACACGCCACTCAGTTCCGTAGGAAGGGAAACTCTGCACGTGCATTTTCCACGTGTATCCCTATTTCAACGCTGTCTTTCACATATCCATGGACCCCACTGGACTCTCAAACTCTCCGGTAACCAACTCTACGGCTCTGATCACGCCACGTCATCAGCCCTACCATCCCCTTTTTTTTCCTTTCACACCATTCCCGAATATTCGCAGCCACCCACCTGAATATCTCGTTCTATGAAAAAAATAAAAAACTTTCCAATTATTATTTGTGCTTAGATCTATAAATAGCAGAGGCTTTTTCTCCTAATACTTCTCTTTTTCTTTTCCTTGTAATCTTGTGCGAAATCTCTAGATCTTCTCCGTTTCTCAAATTTTCTTCCCAAAAAATTACTTTATGGATACATTGTTCTTCGATTCAATTAAGAAGTTTGATTTCTCTGTTTGTTCAAAGCCAGCTTTGCCTTTTGATTTTGATTTTCATCGTCAGATTTTTAGTCAACCTTGTATTTGCTTCTAACCTTTGTTACCTGGAGCTGTCACCATGGGTAGAAGTAAGTTTCTGCTTCGTTTATTTTACTTTTTTTTGTGTGAAAAATAGAAACTATTGAATTCGATTGCTGTAATTTAACTTGCTTATTGTGAAATTGAATTGGGTTTCTGTTCTTTAACCTGTTTATTGTGAAAAAATAGAGACTTTATTGAATTGGGTTTCTGCTATTTTACTTGTTTATCGTCAAAAAATATCAACTTTATTGTATTGGGCTGCTATCATTTAACTTGCTTATCGTCAAACTGAATTCGGTTTATTGTGAAAAAATAGAAGCTTTATTGAATTGGGCTTCGGTTATTTTACTTGTTTACCGTGAAAAAATAGACTTTATTTAATTGGATTGCTGTTATTTAACTTGTTTATCCTGAAATTGGATTGGGTTTCTGTTCTTTAACTTGTTTATTGTGATAGAATATAAACTTCATTGATGGGTTCCTGTTATTTTACTTGTTTATCGTGAACAATATCATCTTTGTTGAATTGGGTTGCTGTTATTGAACTTGTTTATCATGAAATTGAATTGGGTTTTGGTTCTATAACCTTTTTATTGTGAAAATAGAGACTTTATTGAATTGGGTTTCTGTTATTTAACTTGTTTATCCTGAAAAATATCAGCTTTTTGAATTGGGTTTCTGTCTTTGAAACGAATACTGATCTTTGGGTTCTTTTAACTTCTCGCTACTTAAATATAGTAGTAGTTGTTTTTGCTAACAATAGGATCCAAATGGGTTAAGCATAAAAGGAAACCCTATTTTTTGTGGGGTTGGGTAAAGTGTGTTGCTTTGTGGGGAACTTTGGGAATTTCAGAATGGAATTGGGATTTTATTTTGGTTTTGTTTTGTTTTGATAGGCAAATGGAATTGGGAATTAAAGTGTTTGCTGGTGGATCTTTTTTTTTTCCTCTTAGGAAGTTCGCAACGTAGGAGTGCTGCAATGCTGGATAGCGATGACACGGATAGCGTTAGTTCATCGTCAACTACTCGGTCGGATATGATGTTGTCTGGTTTAGAGGAGGTTCAATTTGATAAGGAGACTGTCCTTGATCAGTGCGTGGACGCCCTTTATGAGAAAAGGTTTGACTATACTATTACTTATTTTTGAAGTTTCCATCTTTTATCATTTGCTCCACTTGAGGTTTTGTTTCTGATGAAGAATGTGGCTAACTAGTATTTCTACCCGTTTGTTGGCTGTAGGGGCTCAACAAGAGAGAAGGCTTTGGCATCTATTATAGAAGCATTCAATAGTAACATACAGCATGAATTTGTTGAAAAGAAGTATGAGAATTTTCCTACTTTTATTAAATCATATTATTCTGATTCGTTGAATACATAGGAAATTTGATGTAGATTAAGTGCATGCTTCTACGTCTTATCAGTTGTGCTTGTTTATATTGTATTGTTCTGGACTTTTGTTTCAGTTTTTTTTTTTTTTTGGGGGGGGGGGGGGGGGGTGGAGGGGAGCTTGGCTAGAACTGGTAATATCTTTAGAATTTTTTTTGATGAAGTAATACCATCTTTAGAAAATTTGCTGCCACTGTGATGGTATTCTATGAATTAGAGCCTTCCTATTGGTTAGTCAGATTTTATAGCCCATTCAATAATGGCTTAGAATGTTCCTTGAACCCTTCAGTTAGTTCAATAGGCACTATTAATGTCATTGTAATGGTGGTATAGTCATCATTTTGGTATTTATTTTGGTAAGGAATTTAATTTTATGCGCCGTAACAAGCAATGCATTATATCATATGCACATTTAATATGCTGCCATGTTTCATCCAATAGTAAATAAAATAGTATGCTGCCATGACTATAATCTAATTGTGAATGAAACGTGAAACCTCTTGTCGAAAACTTCCACCAGACTTGCCTGTCGTCTATCATGTTTTGACTTCTAAGATCTCTAGGTGCATGTTTCTCATTGTAATAAATTACTTTACTTTATACGAGGAAAAAAAGCTCTAGGTGCATGCCTTGTTGTGTGTTTCTCACAGTTATGTTCTATCCTTCAGGTTTGCCACATTACTGCAACAATGTTTGAATTCCGTTAAACGTGGTTCCTCCAAGGAGATAGCTTTGGCATCTCATGTTATTGGTTAGTCATCTGTGCATGTTGATTAATTGTAGTCCTTTTAACTTGATCATTCGGCCAAATGTTTGAGTTTGAAAATTTTCAATTTTCTTTGTTGGGGTGATAGGGCTTCTTGCTTTAACTGCTGGCCCTGGGGACAAAGCACACGAGGTTCTGGAAGAATCAGTGTCACCTATCTCAGAGGCTCTTAAATCTCGGTCTGATAATTCTAAAATATCCTCGGTATGTTCATAGATGGTGAAAAGTTCTTTTAATATTGGTGTTAGCTAGCTTGGAGCTGACTGCTGTTTGGTTTTTGTGGTTTTAGCTACTGGAGTGTTTGGCCATTATTACCTTTATTGGTGGCGAAGAACCGGAGAAAACAGAAAAGTCGATGCAATTGATGTGGCAAGTCATTCATCCAAAACTGGGTCCTAATGTATGTTATTCGTGATCATCTTTTCATTTTCTGAAATAGGTCGTATAGTATCTTATTGCTGTATATGGATGTTTTCTAACAAATTAAATTATAAAATGCTTGATTCCTGTCAATCAAATCAGTTATTTGCTTAGGCAGTTCTTAACTTGTCCTGGTTTATGGATCAGGTTTCATCTGCTAAACCTTCACCAGCAATGATAACAGCAGTTGTATCTTCTTGGTCTTTCCTCCTTACTACCATGGATGGATGGACACTTAACCCAAAAAGTTGGCAAGGGTGAGTAACTCTCCTAAAATCCCCACTTGAACCTCTCCCTCCTCCACACAGTGCGCGCGCACACAAAAAAAAGAAGGAAAAAGGGATCATGGAAGAAGAATGAAAAGAACTTGTAATGCACACACAAAAAAAAGAAGGAAAAAGGGATCATGGAAGAAGAATGAAAAGAACTTGTAATTGTGGCATCGGTCCAAGGAAAATTAGACGTGTGAGAATTATGAGCTGTTGTAAGGCTTGTGTTTGGTGATAGTGTTAGATGGTGAATCATTTACTTGTGATGCAGGTCAATCTCCTACTTCTCAACTCTTCTAGACAAGGAAGATCGATCTGTGCGCATTGCAGCAGGCGAAGCACTTGCTTTAGTTTTTGAAGTTGGGAGTCTGGAAAAGTTTTCTGGTGAAGCTAAAGGATCTAGTGACAGCTCCACAGATGAAGCTAACAAATCTAGGGAATTATTACATATACAGGGATTAAGGGCAAAAGTCCTGAACCAGGTAAGAACCCTTTCGGCAGAAGCTGGAGGTAAAGGATCAGCCAAGAAGGATCTTAACAACCAAAGAAACACATTTCGAGATATATTGGAATTTCTCGAGGTAATTCGCTATCTTCAAGTTGCTCCTTTTACATTCTTTCTTTTCTTTTTGCTGCATTTTCTAATTTCTGACAACTAACATCAGGATGGGTATAGTCCTGAGGCCTCGACCAAGATTGGTGGAGAACCGCTTAGCACAAGTACTTGGGCTCAACTTATACAGGTCCCTTTTGTTTCTTTTTGGTTTTAAAATACGGCTGGTTGCTTATTTGCTGAAATCATTGTTTTTTTAACAGTTAAACTTCCTTAAGCACTTCCTTGGAGGAGGATTTGTGAAGCATATGCGGGTTTGTTTTCTAAGTTAAAAAATCAAGTTTTTGGGCTATTGGAATCGTTTAATCGGTGGTCATTAGCTGTTTCCTCTCCAAATTATGCAGGAAAATGAGTTTCTTCATGATGTATTTGGTTTCACGCCAAAGAAGAAATTGCCTGGTGTTGAGCACCGTGTATCCGGCGCTGAAAAGGTAGCATGCTTAGCTTCTATGAAATACTTTAATTTTTACTGCTTCCGGTCCAATATTATTTGTCTTTTAAAGTTTTTGCGCTCTTTGAGAAAGACATCTAATATTCTTAAACGTAAGAGTATTTGCCTAAATTACCATTTATCTCTCGCATAAGCGTCTTGATAATTGACACCACTCATTGGAGCAGTAAGGTTACATTTGGAGAAAAAAAAGTAAGAAATGCTTCCTTTGTTTTAATGTAAAATGTGTTGCATCAATATTTGGTTTGCCAAAGCGACAAATAATATGGAGCGAAGGTAGTAATTGTTATTACTGGAAGAAGTGCTCATCTCATAATCTGTTTCAAATGACTTTGTTGTATAAATGTATTTTTTCCAAAATGCTTTTTCCTTGTTTGTTGAATTATTGGTTGAATTTGAGGGGAAGCATTTATTTTGGGATAATGTTCTGTTTTGCAGAGATTGTTTAAGTCACCAAATTCAGAAAAAAACAAGGCCCGGACTCAATTTCTAAACAAGCAAAGGATGATATCCCAGGCAAGTTATATTCTTTTGTGATCAGGCTTCCAACCCCCACCCCCACCCCCACCCCACCA